ATTGAAAGATTATATGTTGATGCCTAAGGCGGATCTTTAAAATAAGGAGGCAAGACAAAATAACCAATGAGGTAGTGCGACAAAGAGCAGGGTGCCAGGACATCTGCTGTGTTATCAGCTGCAGACGCCTTGGCTACAGTCATAGAATGCCAAAAGGTCAACATTCTGTATGGTGATCTAACAGAAGGCAGGAGAGCCGCTGGTCGCCCACTTTTAAGGTATACGGATGTATGCAAACGGGACATGAAGCTCTTCGAAATTGACACTAGCAGCTGGGGAAAAGTGGTACTGGATAGATCCACATGGAGAGCAAGCATATAGAAAGGGTCTCGGATAGCAGATCCCATACACTACAGTAGTAGAAAGAAGGGTGAAAATGCAACAGCGCCTGGCGTTTACATATTCCCAACCTGTGACTACAGCTATGTATTAAGGATTGGCCTCTTTAGTCACACAAGAAGTTGCTAAGGGAAAAAAATCATCTCTTGAGATGTAAAATGACACAGATATGTTGAAATTTTAACTGGTAATTTATACATAGTTGTTGTTTTTTTTTACTTAACATTTTGTGTTCATATTTTTTTTGTTTTTTCCAGGTGGTCAGCAAGTCAGACATCAATCACATGACTGCTGAGAATGTGGCCACAGTCTTTGGTCCAAACATTGCCTGGCCTAAAGGTCAAGCTAATCTGGCCTCAGTTGAGCAGGCGGTCAAGTTTGCCCTTATTCTTTTACAGAATTTCGATGAGGTCTTCCTGAGGTGATTGTCTCACCAGACTTGTAAAAAAAAGGAGCAAGTTCTTACCATGCACAAACAAAAATAGCTCATTGATTTTTCCTTTCTATTTGGTATCATTCTTGCAATACTTTTGGTTCTGTGAAGTCTCTTCCTCCCCTGTTTCCCTTTTAGACTTGATTATGTCCCTCTTTTGTTTCTATTTTGAATGGCTGAAGATAGCATTGACTAAACTGATGGTTTGAATATATATATTTATATAAATATATATATATATACATGTATGTTATCTATTTATATATTTGTTTTGAATGTATAACTGTCCAGAGCATATTGAGATGATAACACTCTTTTAAATGACATATTATTGTATTATATTTTCAAACAAAGAAATATTTTATGCTTGACAACATTACTGAGTCAGTTTTTCTAAATCATCTTGATACTATTGTGAACAACAGCTTTCCATTACACTGGATTAAGAAGTTTGTTGTGCTGCCAATTATGACATTTTACAACTTGTATACAATAGCCTCTTTCACCCTTCTTGTTAGGATTGATTGTATCTGTTGTGTTTGGAAGTGTATTTACAAACTGTATTTGTTTTGTATGATGAATGTTTGAGCTCCAAATTGTTTATTTCTTTGCTATGTAATAGAAATACAAAGTTTCTCTTGAAGAAATAACAGTCATTGTCAAGTAGAATCAATTTGTTCTGGACAATTTCTTCTTTTGATATGTTATTTATTTTTCAGATTTAGTCAGTGAATGACTCATTTAGTATTATTGTGTTAGCCAAAATTTTTTTTGTGCTTTGTTTTAATTACAAAGGGAGTTGACACCTAATCTAGCTAAAAGGTCCTTGAGCATTACTTTCCATAGTCACTAGCAACCAAAATGAAGTAGATCTTGATGCTGTTCCAATGTCAAAGTTGACTTGATACACAATTTTACATATTTTTTGTTTGAGAAATTTATGTCCCAGATTTTTCTAGAGCAGTTCTTTATGAGTGCAGGAGTGTGTTTGTTTGTTGTTTTTCTGTGTTGTCATTTGCCATCATTCTTCTATACCAGGGGTTCTCAACCTGTGGGTCGCGACCCCCTTGGGGGTCGATTGACAATTTGCCAGGGGTCGCCAAAGACCATTGAAAAAATGGATTGTTATTGTCTATTCTTCAATTGCTGTGTGTGTGCGGAGGAGGGGGGGCCACGGCTAAGTGGGGGATTGTAAAAAGGGGTCGCCGAGCATAAAAGGTTGAGAACCGTTCCAAACATGTGGTGCCAGCTTTGATTGAAAGTTAATGTACTTAGTTTATGTTGTACTTAATTAATATCTGCTGGGAAGACTAGATTTTAAATTTGTTAGAAATTTTCATGAAAGTCATTGTCATAAACCACCAGACTAAAATATTGGCATGACTCAGTGAAGAATATGCACGATTCTAGATTGATATTTGTTTTTAATTCACCATTAAGATCCCTCTTGGCATCCCAAGATTTAGATGTAATAAAATACTCAGAAATACATAAAGATAAATGGCACATTACTTATTCCACATGCAAGGACAAATTGATGTAAGTGCTCTTTCTTCCCTAATTCCATTAGAGCATGGAACTGATTGCTAGAATCATCTAGGAAAACCAATAACATGGTAGAGGTTTAAGACACTGATTAACATGCACAACTAGATTGGCACATATCAATACATTAAATGATTAGATACTGAAAATGCTGATTGACTTCTTTCTTAGAACATTATAAGAAAAGTCTGTTTTGTATTTCCTATTGAAGTAATGTCTGTATTATATAAGATAAGATGATTTTTTGTCCACTTGCCTCACCTTTGTCTACTGTTGTAAATCTTACTGACCAGAGATTACATTTTATCTGGCCTAAGTTTCAAGAAGGAATGTTTATTTGTAATTAAAAGGTTCTAGTGTCTGGAAAAAATAGATGGGACAGTGCTTTGAAAAATTCAATTAAGTTTATTAGATGTTTTATATCTGTTTTTGTATATTGATCTACTGCCCTAGTATGGGAGATTTGGCTGATCTGCTTAAGTAGGCTATTATTGTCAAGACATTGACAAAGAAATTCTTGGTTTCTGAAAATAATTTTTCTCAGGTCGTCTTTTTATTAAAAAAAATAAAACTTTAGTCAATGTTATGTATGCTTGATGTTTCATAGAAGTCTTTTCTCTGAGGATAGATAGTGGGTAAATTTAGAAAACATGGTCAACCATTAGAAATTGAGCTGTTAGAGGACTTAAGTAAAAACAAAGAAATAAATTGTGCTGTTAGTCATAGGACTAAAGTAAAAACAAAGGAATGAACAAATAACGCTAAATTGGTTATTAGTTAACTATTATGTTCTAATTATTTGTCATATTCCTTGTTTGTAGCTGATGAAGGCCTTGTGGCGCAAATATCCTTTTTTTTTTTTTTTTTTTTAAAGTAAGTATAAATAAGTCCAGCAGGGTTTCCTTTATGTTTTGTATTTTCTATATAGTTGTTCAACCCTGATGCAGTGAATCTTTTTTTTTTTCAGCCCCTTAACTGGGGAGATGTTTATCTTCAGTTTTCTGTAAAATCTAATTCTGTAATACTTTCATCAGTTAGTCTCTCTCTGATATCACATGGATGGCTGCCTGGTAGTGCGATATGTCCACTGGACTGTCGTTCAGAAGGTAAACTTATTTTGTTCCATCAGATTCTAAAGTATACTTTTTTTTCTTTCTTTGTGCTTTGGTATGGTCAGTGATAAAATTGGAATCTTAACTTTTGAACTTTGGCATTATTAAAGATAATTCTGGAAGGGTTATCTTTGCATTTTGATCAGCTTGTTATTTTGTATAGTTTATGGACTGGGGATCTTTCCTATGTAAGTTTGGTTTTGAAAGGTTGTAGATTCTGTTAGGCTGTGTTTGACTGATGTCCTGTGGATGTGTTAGGCTGTGTTTGATTGATGTCCTGTGGATGTGTTAGGTGTTAGGCTGTGTTTGATGTCCTGTGGATGTGTTAGGTGTTAGGCTGTTTGATTGATGTCCTGTGGATGTGTTAGGTGTTAGGCTGTGTTTGATTGATGTCCTGTGGATGTGTTAGGTGTTAGGCTGTGTTTGATTGATGTCCTGTGGATGCTTTAGGTGCTAGGCTGTGTTTGACTGATGTCCTGTGGATGTGTTAGGTGCTAGGGTGTGTTCCCTGACATTCCTGTACAGATCTACTGGGCCATGACCAGTTCATGTATTCCACTTGGTGCAATCATTCAATGTTTTCATTAGATATAATTTCTATTTTATTTTCTTCTGGACTACAGTCCATTGACTTATGATCCATATTCTTGTCATGTATTTGTCTGGCTGCCTTGTTTAGCTGTTTTATAGCAGCCACTGTAGAATGTGGTTGCAGCCATTTTGATTTTTTGCCATATAATATTTCACAATGTAATTTTCATCTTTTGCCATGTAGCCATGAGCAGTGTCATAATTCAGGCAGTTCCTATTTATTTTAATATATATCTCAGTGATATGCTCTTACTACTGAAAATGCTTATGTTGTTTCAGTAGAATATTATCTCCCTTGATGTGGATTAAACCATTGGAAGAGGGGCCAGGGGGGTCAATTTACAAATATGGAAAAAGTTTTTTTTCAAAAAGAGGTTATGAGAAGTTATTTTAAAGTTGCTTGTGCCTTGTCAAGAGATCGAGGAATAGAAAGGTTATTCATTTCCCATCAGTGCCATGACAATATTACACAAATGAGGAGAGTTTCCTTGCCCATTTGAACATATTTGCTCTATCCATGTTTGTTATTTAGTCACATTTTGTTTGTTTCAAATTGGGTTTGATCAGATCTTAAATAAGTAGGTTTACATAGGGACAAGAGCATCACCTTTTTTTTTATATGGATGAATAGAAATGTAGTATGTAACTTTTTTTTTTTAGGTTTGATGTTGGTGAAGAATTAATAAGAAAAGTGCCCTGACTATGACTTTTAACAGCACTACTCTATGTAGCTAGGCTGTTCAATGCTAGTAGATTAGTAATATATCACATGGAAATTTATAGTTATCAATAGGGGCCAGAGAATGTTAGCTTGTACATTATAATCATGGAATACAAACAACCCTAACCTATATATACGCTAAAAAAAAATATTTTAAATAGTAAAATATTCAGCAGTATAAACATGTATATTTTTTTTCTGAACAAAGCCTGGATATGTTTATTTAATGATGGATATTAATAAATCTGATTTTTTTAATCTTTTTTTTTTTTTTTTTTTTGAATAATTTATTGAAGTTTTTTTGTGCGTGTGCATAATTTTTGGTTCACTGGAGAATATTATGACATTTGAAGACATTGATTTTTATTGTCAATATACATTTACTGCAGACTTGATTATTAATGAATTTTGTTGCTAGTTTTGATTTTTTATTTCTCTTTTAGTTTGCATGATGTGTAAATATATTTGGATTAAACTGACTACAATCATGTTGATATGACTTTCTTTTTTTTTTTTTTTTTGTAATCTATTGGGCTTTGTGTATTTATATGTTGAAGTTATCAAAACTAATGTAAGCTCAAAGCTCTATGAGAATACAACAAAAGCATAAAAGTGAGAATTTAAATAGCAAACTAATCTAAGTCAGTTTTGAACAGATAGGTCTTTTAAGTTTCTTTTTGAATGTCGTCAAGTAGGTGGTTTGCTAGAGCTCAAAAGGAAGTGAGTTCCAAACTTTTGGGCCATGAACTGAAAAAAAGCCCACAAACTTTTGGGGGAAACATGGCATAACTAGCTGTATTGAGTCCATGTAGCGCAGGGGTTCTCAACCTGTGGGTCGTGACCCTTTTGGGGGTCGATTGACCATTTGCCAAGGGTCGCCTAAGACCATCAAAAATATGGATTGTTATTGTCTACTCTTCTATTGCTGTATGTGTGTGGGGGGGAGAGGGAATCGTGGCAGAGTGGGGGATTGTTAAAAGGGGTCGCCGAACTTAAAAGGTTGAGAACCACTGATGTAGTGTCATGTTTTCAAAGACTCAATTGTGGTGGAAGTGGAGAGAGAGAAGATTCAACCTAAGCACGAAATGATTTCTAGTACACTCACTGAGGTGTCATTGCTTATTTTTACATTCAGAATTCATTGTTTCAGTAAGGTGAAAAACAATTTAAATGTTTAGTTGCATAAAGATGCTTATTTTTAATTAGCAAGTTATATATATATATATAACAATCATTTATTGTGTGTGTATACATATACATGAATCTAAATGTAAAAATTGCTTTCATTATAAGGCATTGAGTCCAAACATTTCAGGAAAAAAAATACTTTGCTGCTTTCTTAGAAACAAGTTTTCTGTTTAAAATATATTGTCATTTTATAGAGATATTTCATTCTTCTAAAAAAAATGTAATGTGAACTTGGACCTGTAAGTCAATTTACTTAGTTTTTGATGCACTTAATATCTTCTACAATACTGGGGCTACTAGGTTTTCCTTTTCAAGTTTCTGATGGTACTACTAAGTTTGTCCATGTCATAATTCACTGAACTCAATTCAGATTGTAGTAATATGACCCACAAGTGAACTTCAAAACTGGAAAGCTCTTTAGCAATTTCAGAATTCCTTGAGTAGTGTCACAAAACTAATGTTTACATAGGCAAGTGATGTGTGCATGTTTTAAATCTACATATTTACAATGTACTTAAGTGATAATTGGTAAGTTTCATGATTACAGTCAAAACATAAAACAGTTTGAAGTTAATCCTCTTCATAAGATGTCAGTTAATCTTGACATGACAGAAAAGTTGCAACAGAAGTTGGCAGCATCAGCAGAGAAGGTGGGGTACCTTGACTCAACTACTATCAGAAGTACATTGATTTGAAGCTTGATATTCATGAGGATATTCCTACAGAAGAAATACAGAAATGTTTTACTGCGTAGCCAAGATGAAAGAGGCCTGGTATGATTACAGGAGTACACACATTTACAGAAAAGTAAATTATAATACATTCTAATTTTTTATTTAAAAATAGTAAAAACAGAATATTAATAATAATAACAAACTAAGCATTTCATAGTTGACAAGTGTTGAAAGTGTGCATCATTAACTTTGATTCTCAAATTAGCTTGTCTCAATGTGTTTTGGAAAACATTTGTCAGTTTATTTGGTGCGACTTTGGCAATAGTAGTGGGAATGTTTGTTTTTAACTCTTCAATTGTATGCAGTTTGCTACTGTTCATTTTACCTATTAAGTTAGCACACAATTAAGACTCTAGGCCTCTTTTATCTAAGTCATGTTGTATATTGTTACGGCAACTTTTTTTAAATATAAATTTTATGTAGAATTATAGCAGCAAGTATCAAAGAATTTATTCTATAACAGATTTTCACACTTGAAGTTAATGGCCGTAATCTGTTCTTTATTAGCACATTCCTGTTTATGTGCTTTAAGGAATAAACTAAAGTAAGAGAGAAAAAGAAGAGAAAAGGATATGAAGAAATATGGTGGTGATATAGTGGAACCTAGAGAAAAAGGTTGGAAAATGAGGAACACTGGGAGAGATGTTGAAAAAAAAAAAGACAAAATTTAAAATGTCAAGGACACCATATTGAAAAATCCCAGTTGTCAAGTAAATAAAAGAAATTGCTTTGTATAGCAAGCAAAAGTGCTTAGAAATTTTATTCTACAGTGCTGAAAAGTGAAAACAAATTATATTGTTTGCTTCCATTTTGTGTAGACTGGAGTCACCAAAAAGCTTAATAGGCCTATTTTAGGCCTTGCCTTAATGTATGAATATTAATGAGAAGTACAGTAGCTACGCAATCCCAGCTGCAACCTACATATTTTGCCACATCCAGGGCGAGTTAAGACTTGTCATTAATTTCCAGATTTGAAGAAAAGCTTTATTATTATTCATGTATGAAAGTGTCTGATAGAATTTAGTAAAAGTAAAGTAAGTCCTCAGATCTTTTGCACAGATGATGCCAAGAAAAATCTGTATCTATGGCCAACATCAACATGTAATAAGGATGTCGTTTGGGCTGCAAAACAACTAAATGCCTTTACTTTCTCCAACTAATGTCAGGCACCTGAGAAAAGGCTTGGATTTAGGGGATGTCTTTATGGTCAAGGTATAGAATAATAATAATAATATAATAATAATATTATAACATAATGTTATCACCCCATACCAACATGGCTTTAGGAAATATAGATCATGTGAAACACAACTAATAGGACTAATTGATGATTTTTCAAAAGGTTTAGATAATAGTGAACAAATAGATGCTATTTTACTAGATTTTTCCAAGGCTTTTGACAAAGTTCACCACCATAGTTTGCTTAAAAAATTAAACTATTTCGGCATTAATGGTCCACTGCATCAGTGGATTAAAGATTTTCTGATAGGGAGAGAACAAACTGTAATAATAAATGGCTCTAAATCAACTCCAATAACAGTAAACTCAGGTGTACCTCAAGGAACAGTCTTGGGTCCACTACTATTTTTAATTTACATAAATGATTTACCAAATTGCATTAGTTCAGGAACAAAAGTCAGATTATTTGCAGATGATTGCATAATATATAGAACAATAAAAACAACACAAGACACAGATATTTTACAAAGAGAATTAGATGAATTACAGAAATGGGAATCAAATTGGAGCATGTCTTTCCACCCAGAAAAATGTCAGTTGTTAAGAGTAACAAAAAAACTAAAACAAATTAATTCCACTTATCTTATTCATGGCAAACCAGTAACACAGACTAAAAACGCAAAATACCTAGGTGTTATAATAAATGAAAAACTGTCATGGAATCCACATATTGATGAAACTACAAAAAAATCCAACAAAGCATTATGGTTTATTAAAAGAAATTTCTATAAATCAAATAAGAACATAAAACTAAAATGTTATTTAACCTTGGTTAGGCCAATAATAGAATATGCATCCACCGTTTGGGACCCCTCAACTCAAGAAAACATTAAGAAACTGGAACAAACACAAAATAGAGCAGTGAGATTCATAACAAACGAATATTCACATTTGACTAGAGTAACACCATTAGTAAAATCACTAAATTTAGAAAGCCTTCAGGACAGAAGACTCAAAAGTAAAGTAGCAATTATACATAAAACACTGAACCATAATCTTCAAATACAAAAACAAAACTTAATAAAATACTCTGAAAGACACAAAAATAAAGGCACATTCCTTGTCCCCTATGATAGGACAAATTTGTACAAATACTCCTTCTTCCCTAGTGCTATTAGAGCATGGAATGGATTGCCTGAGCTTGCCAGAAAAACCAGTGACTTGGCAGAATTTAAGTCATTGGTTAATATGCATGACTAAATGCATGACGCGTAGGACGTAATCATCTTCTTTTTTGAAGTAACGTCTGTATTATATAAGATAAGATAAGAAGATATAAAATTATTTTTTTTTGTTCGTTATGCCTACCAAGCATTTCATCTGGTTTTCCAAAATGGAACAATGTTCATAGCATTGGATGCTGACCCTGGAGCAGTGTTTGTTTGGATTGTCTGGCCAGGTGATGTAGTCACAGCAAAAAGCCTGGGTTAATGAGAAAAACATTTTGTAATGGATGAGTCGACTTTATATGAAAAAAACACTTTGCTTAACATTCAATTCCAAAAATACTATATTTTTATAAAATAGAATTAGCACGAGCCCAAAACTTTTAAAGTTGCTATCAAAACACTGCATACCTTTTACTTGATGGAGAACTTTTGGAAGAACTTTTTCTGAAACTGCCAAATCTGGTGTTTAGGGAAGTCTCCATTAACGGAGGTAATTCACTCTTTTTCTTGCAGAACTGAACCTGATTTACATAAAGAACTGACTAGTTAATAAAAATAAAACATTCTTTTCATAATTTCTTAAACGATTATTGTAAATTTTATATACACAAAGTAGTTTTAATACATAAATTGTGATAAGCATAGCCAACCCCTTACGAAAATGTATGGCTGCTCAATGCTGTTGAGTGTTAAAATGAATCTTCTAGAATGAAACGATTAAGCTTATTTTGCTATAGTCCAGGAGTGTCAATCAATAGTAGGAGTTTCTGAAATTAAACCTAAAGTACAGCAACTAGATCTAGTACAGCTGATCTCATGAGTACAAAAATAAAAATAATATGCAAACGAATTAAAAATCAATTACGTGGGCTAGTTTATTTTCAATTTTCTAATAATATAGTTAGCCTTCATATTTTATTTTTCATAATTTTTCTCACCTTTGTCCACATGCAATAGGGTACTTTGTTATACTCAATAAGAATAATACATTTTAATTGTTAGTTTCCCAGAACCCCTTAGGCTTTAGTGGAAATAGAAAATTTTAATATATTCAATAATTTTTAAGATGTTGATGTACGCTACTGTAATTTCTAAGGACCTTGATAAATATCCTATGTACTTGAGTGTACTGGTGTATTGAAATAAGATACTCGCCATGTCC